GCCCCATCTTCCTTCCGAGGAGTGGCTGGTGGGTTTGAACTGCCAGCCTTCTGGTTAGCAGTCAAGTGCCTTAGCCACTATGCTACCAGAGCTCCTAAGGAGTCCTGGTGGGGCAGTGGTTAAGTGCTTGACTACTAACAGAAATTTGGGGCTTCAAGTCACCACCTTCTGCAGGAGAAAGACGTGGCAGTCTGCTTCTGGAAAGATTTACAGTCTTGAAAACTCTTTTGGACAGTTTTACTCTGTTCTAGAGGGTCGCTATGAGTCGGCATCAACTTGGTGGCAAGGAGCTTAGTTTGGTTTTTGTTTTCAGCATCAATAGATACTTCTTGGTCAAATTAGTATAATTTCTTCAGGACTTGCAAAGTGATGATTTTCTAGTTTTTCATTCCTTCTACATTTATTTGATATGTCGAATTGTGTCGGGTTTTTCCTGGCTTTTTTTAAAAGTTTTATTTCTGATGCTCATGTTATCACAGTTTTAGGCAATGGACGTTCTTTCAAGCCTGACTGCTGTCTGCTTTTGACTTGACATCATTGATCTTTGAAAACTTCCTTGCACTTCATGTTTACCTTGTACCTTCCCTCCCAGAATGGAAATTGGTGTGACGTAGTGCCTAAGGCATTTGCCTGGGAACCAGAAGGCTGGTGGTTCAAACCTACCAGCCACTCTTTGGAAGGAAGTTTCGGCAATCTATTTCTGTAGTGATACCGCCTTGGAAACCCCAGGAGGGGTCACTGTGAGTCAGACCTGACCCGACAGCAGTGAGTTTGAGTTTGATTTTTTTGGATGGGTACCAAGTATTATCATTGCTCCAGGAATAACACTGTTTTGAGGCTTTTTAAATGGCAGAGCTAGTATTTTTAAAAGTCTGATTTCATATTGTTATTTCCAGTTTAAATGGTATGGTATTTTTATACAATTTCTTAGATCTTCATTTTATACTAAAAATCTTAAACTAACATAAGTACTTGTTTTCTTGCTTTATCATACGATATAAAGAAGGTGATTTCAAAATAACAGTACTAATGTTGGTGGAGGTTTCCTTTGGTGCTACAAAGGCTACTAGTGGAAGGTTGTCAGTCTGTACGCACCCAGAGGCCCGTTGGGAGATAGGCCTGACAATCTACTTCTGAAAATTCACAGCCTTGCAAACCCCATGGAGCAGTTCTACTCTGCACACATACATATGTGATCACCATGTGTGGGAACCAACTTGACTCCACAGCCACTGACAGACAACGTTAGTGGTAACCATGAAAATACTGAATCATGTTAAATATTTCTCTATAGCTGTTTTTGTCCTTCTCATGCATCCCACTAAAGAATGTAGTCCGGTACACTATTCTAAACTCATTTGAAGTAAATCTTTTTTTTTTTTTGAGGATTTGTTACTGTGTTTAACTTCATTTGTTTTCAAGTTAAGGGAGTGCTTTTTGAGTATGACTCTGATTTTTTAAAAAT